GCCACAACCACAAAGGCTAGGTTCAATATGAGATCGATAATCATGATCGGCCACGAATACACCCAATCGCTCTATCTCTCCTCAATCTGCTCCACCGTCGACTTGCGCACTTGCATCGATGGTTCGCGCATCATTCTCTGGCTGTTGGTACGGCGGAGGAACCGAGCGACATCGTGGAGGCTCAGTGGATGCTGAACGAACTGCCGGCTCTGGAAGATCTGGTTCGTGATAAACGGCGTCGTATCGATGCCGTTGTTGTTGTTGTTGTTGTTGTCAGTCGGAAAATGAGATGGTCTCGCCGTCGACATCGTCGAAGAGTACAAATGTGTGTGTGTGTGTGTATGAGAGAGAGAGAGAGAGAAAGAGAGACTTGATTAGGTTTAGTGCATCGTTTGAAGAAAACAAAACCCTAGGTGGAGAGATTAGAGAATAATTTTTGTTTCTCAGTTATATATATATATATATATATCTATACAGGCACAGAGATTTTGCTTTTCCATGAGCGAAATGGTTCTATTTGTCCTATCTTGTTGTTAAGTATATATCTCACTCACTATTTTTACTGATTTCACTTGGCGATGTCTACTTTGTGAATGTCATTTGCTTTGAAATGTTGATTTTAAGTTGTTAAACTATAATTTCACCTAATTTTCATTTCTTTAATGACTCATTTTTTGTTCGAATTTGAAATTTGGAGATCGATGATAAATCCATAGAGAAAATTCATAGCAATTTTAGCACATTTTGTTGTATGATTTGAAGGCAGTGATTTAAAGGCAATGTTGATGACAATGTTGTGTTGTTCTCCTAATAGTTCTTTGCTTAAAGTTCACAAACTTTTGACTTATTTTTGAACTGCTTCAAAATGTCTCTCCAACTCGTTTCAGTTTTGTAATCTCAAGATCTATACTTAATACTAAGTTGGCTAGTCAAATCAAAGCTGATAAAGTTTGCATTTCTTGCGTCTTTCTTTGAAGATGATTTATTGTTACAACAATGCTAGGTATCATGAAAAATCTTTCATGAAAATAATCATGAAAGCTTTGTGACTTTTGGATTACACTTAGAATAAAGCACTACACACTAATCAAGGTAATCCAAAGATCATAAATCATTCATGATCTTTTTCATGAAAATTTTTTCATGATCCCTAACTTTTCTCTTATTGTTATGAAATGAGTTCGGTTTTGTTGTTGTTGTTTATAATAAAATTTTTTGAAAGAATATATATAAATCTGTTCATTTTCCTATATATGAATCTGAAGTGTTTGGATTGAAATGGAAGATGATGTTGGAATGGTTCAAGGAAATGACCTCTTAATTTCCTTCTTTTTGTCTCTCTCTGTATATATATGAATGACAATGCTACGTAACTCAAATTTTGTTGCTCAAAAATGGCTCAAATGGCCAAACGACGTCGTTTTGAGTACAGAACAACATAAAAATGGCCGTTTTGGCCATTTGAACTACTTTTGAGCCACAAAATTTGAGCTACGAGACATTTTCCATATACGAATGTGGTTCTTGGTTGGAAATCAATTTCAACAAATAAAAATTGTACATATAAAATAGGCTCTGTAAAAGTAAACAGATTGGTGAAATAGGCTTCAACAGATAGGGAAAACTATAACAGATAAATAAAAAATTTTTGAACAAATAAAAAAATACAGATAGAAAATAATTTTAAACAAATAGATATAAATTTGAACAGATAGTTGCAAAGATTAAAAAAATTAATAGATAGCGTAAAAACATTGAACATATAGGAAAAACTGAACAGATAGAAAAAAAAAATTGAACAGATAAGAAAAAATTGAACAGATAGAATTTATTTTTGAGGAGATAAGAAAAAATTTGGACAGGTAAGAATTTTTTTTGAACATATAGTCAACGAAAGTCAATAGATAAAAAAACAAAAGTCAATAGGGGTAAAATTATGAACAAAATGTCTTTCAAAACTAATAAAAGAACTTCGCACTAAACTATTTCACAAAAGGTAGATCTTTCATCGATAAAAAATATCCACTAAACCTATTACCTTAAACACTCTAAATTGGATTTTTCACCAATTTTCTCTATGCAATTTTGATTTGCAATTGGGATCACAATAATATTGGATTAGTAAGAGATAAAATTTGTCCATTTAATTTCTTTTCATCTTTTTTATTAACTGCTAATATCACATAGAATAATATCATTATCACACTCAATATTTTTTTCTTTTTTAAGGCTGTGAAAGAGAAGAAAGCTTTCAAGTTTTTTTTTTTTTTTTTACAGGAAAATCTTCCTCCTCTCTTGCGAGTCCAAGATAACGCCCTTGTAGAAATCACCAAGGTGCCTTATTGTACGTTCTGAGTCAGCAACTATAACTTGAGAATTGGTCCCAACCTTCTAAGATAAGTTTAGCTTAAGTCAAGACTTGCGTAGTGAGAGAGTATTGAATTCACACCAAACATTGTGGTAACAATTTACCCACACTGAATACTGTGATAACAATAATTAGAGATTTACTTCCTAACCAATTACGCTATGTTTAAAAAATTGATCCAAAAAATTTTAAACTTGAGAACTAGGATTTTAAACCCCCAGAATCTGAGAGCGTTCAAGTTGATACTCAAACAGCTTCTCATTTCCAACCAAACGGTTTTTCCAACACAAACAAGGCTTTTGGTCAAAGAAGATAAATAAAGGTAAAAGATGAGCTCAGTCCCTTTACCTACTATTTACGCCAGGCCCTCCCATCCCCACCCACCCACCAAAATTCAAACCAATTCTGTCTCTCTCCCTCCTCTCCTCTCCTCTCTCCTGTCTCTCTCATTTCAAAGTTGCATTTCAAATGGGGGCCATAACTAGAAATTCTGATTCCTGAAACAATATCAATGATGGCCTACAACAAGAAAAGGAAAGGAAAGGATAAATTATTCAATGCTTTTAAAATAATGTTTCATTCTATTTACAAATTCACGCTTAATATCTTGTTTTCTAAAGTTCTAATATAAAATTGATGAATATTATGATTTAGATGAAAGACCGAGTTGGAGTTCCTAACAATAGGCTGCTGTGAGGCTTATTAAGGACGTGCCTAGAGTCTCTTTTGATTATTTAAACCGTTTATATTGTAAGATTTGTTGAATAAATCATTCATGCAAAAAACTAAATAAATTAGACACTTGTAACCCTATAATAATAGTACATTTGTTTTTTAAAAAAAATAGACAATTAACATGATTTTAATAATTTTTTTAAAAATAATTAGTTCTTGATCATGAGATTACCGATATCCGATTTACTTAATTTTTTATATGAATGACATACTTGACAAACCTTACAATATGAATGGTTCGGATTGTCAAGATAGGTTTGGAAAATACTTTTAAAAGCCCTCACAGCAGGACTGTTGTGCCTTAAGATACAACAACCCTATATCCGATCAATAACATCGCAAAATTACTCGATTGAATTGTATTTGACTAAATCTGATTTTAATAAAAATATTTGGAAAAACATTGGTAAGATAAAGTCAAGTATAGAGACAAATAAATTAAAATTACTAAGCTTCAAGTAAAATTTAAAATAAAAAAATTCGTACATAAAATCCAAAAAATCCCACCCTATTGTCATTAACTATGATTTTGAAACACCACATAGCATAGAATAATTTCTCAAAGAGAAGAGGGTGGTAAACTTAAAAAGAATCACATAGAAACGCTCTGATAAGGCATCAATTTCTTTTTTTTTTTCAACTTCCTAATTTTATCTCTTCCTCTCAAGGGCTCCACCACTTCCCTTCTCTTTTGACCAAACTGATTTTCCTTATAATAATAATAATAATAATTTAAACTCCTCATGTAAACCATATCTTCCTATAGTTCATACTCGACTCACTATATTTTCAAGACTAGTTGCTAATATCTCGTGACCCTGACAATTTGCATAGCCTGTGGGGTTGGTGCAGCTTGTTGGAATAACTTATACTTTTCTTTTATTTTAAAAAAATGTTATTTTATATAACTTTTATTTATAGCATATGATTAAAAATAATTTAGACTGATAAAATAATATTAATTTTTATTTTTTAATTATCAACTTTTAACTCACAAATTAGCTATTGAGGTGCCCTCACACTTTCATATTACACATTACTTTAGTATTTAGGTAATGTATAATTTGACTTCGCACTCTCTCTCATGCACAGTGTGTTTACCTATCAATACTTGCAACGTGCAAACCTTACCTATCCGTAATACTTCTACTCATGATTTTAGATAAAATTTAACTTCAAAAACTAGTCCCAGACCACATAACATACTTATGAATGTACATATATAAATAATAATGTTAGATGTATTGTATTATGACACTCACCTCATTTGTTAGCATAATAGTAATGTAACGAGTTTCATCATCCGTGTTTATTTTTAATAAATCTAGAACAATTCGATCATGACTTGATGAAAAACGTGTTGTCCATACATTAAACATAAGATGATGGAGAACATGTGACTAGCTACCCACCCCCCTTGGTGGCCCAGTGGTAAGGCATACGTGACTGTGTAGGTTAGGTGTACGGTCATGGGTTCGATTCCCCTTTGGAGCCTCTTGGGATTTAAGAGGGGGGTCGTGGCGGTGGGATGCTGTGATTGCTCCCTCTGAAGATTAGTCGGTAGACGCAGCCCAGCAGTAGAAGCCGGACATCTCAATTTCAAAAAACAAAAAAAAAAAAAAAACATGTGACTAGCTACTAATTAAATGCGTAAACTTAACGCTTTGTTTGGTAAACAGTCAAGTAGTCGACTTCATTGAACAACCATATATTTCCACAACCAATCAAAGATTTCTCCTTTCTCTCCTTTTCCTTTTTACTTTCCCTCTTACCAATCATCAATAAATACCTTCTTCAACCTCTCCAACTTCCCCTTCTTTTTCCATCCTCCCAAAACTCTCTCTCCCTCCCTCTCTCTCTCTCTCTCTCTCTCTCTCTCACTCTCACTCTCTCAAATATGAGTAAGAGAGTGGCTTTCAGCCCTGATGTCAACAACAACAAGCACGGCGGCAGTGCTGGCATCAAAGTTGGCGGAAAGAAGAGGAGGGTGGTCGGAATCTGGATTTTCCGAGCATCCAAACACTCCAACTTTTCACCCGTAGGGTTTCTAAGGAGAATTGGAGCTACAGTTTTGAGGTTTGTCTCTTCAAGAAAGAGGTCTTCACGTAAAGTTTCTTCGTCGAGTTTGTCTAGGTCGAGGTCTTGTGCAGAAACAGTTGATTCTCATCGAGCCGAAGCCATTGAGGATTGTATCGAGTTCTTGAATTCTTCTTCTTCTTCTTCTTCCTTGCAGAGATCATATTCAGTCTCCGCAAGTTCTTGCTAAGTTATTTTTATTTTTATTTTGGAGAAATTACAATTCAATGGTTTTTTCACAAAATAATTACAGATTCATAAAAAAAAAATTAAAGTTTGCCACTTATCTGAAATTATTTTTAAAAAAATATAATGAATTGTAATTTTTCTTTTTATTTTTTATTTTTCAGATGTAAATGAAAGAAATTTATTTGTCACAATTATTAGTTTACTCTGAGGTGTAGGAATGAAATATAATGAAATTTCACGTCCTGGTGTTTCATGTTAACACATCTTAAGATGATAATATAAGAGTGATTTTGGAGTAAAAATCAAAATTAAAAATTAAAAAAATGAAATAATGTGAGCACATTAGTATCTGCAGAAGTTAGTTTTATTTATTTATTTATACAGTTTTTGTTTTTAAAATAATTGGACTCGAGGGTCCCATATTGTCTTACATAACAAATTTGTATGCCTGCTCAATCTTTTATATATTCATGTCTTAATGTATTCTTCACTTTTAAATCATGTTTCAAGATTATGAGATTCTCTTATAATTTAAATTTAGATTGAAAGTAATAATAGAAAATTCTTAGCCGTCAATAGTACACTCCTGTATTTTGAGGCTTGTATTCATAAGGGGGATGCACCAATAAATCCCAAATTAATAACTTATGCACTGTTTAGTCTTAAAAGTTTTTTTATAGACTGAAAGGTCCCATTACAATGTTAATAACATCAGATACAATGTTAATAACATCAGAGTCATGTTACAAACATTAGATTTCAAACATCTAATGTTCATCAAATTTCAATAATGTTTGAAAATATAGGATGAAAAACATCTAATGTTCATCAGATTTCAATAAATTTTGAAATTATAGAATGAAACATCAGATCATTTACATCATTCACATCATGTTGATGTAAAAATGGGACTAAATGGAGCATAAGAAAACTTTTAGTACTAAATGGTTCAACGTTTCAAAAACTAGGACTTATGGGTAAATTTTCCTTGCTTATTTGGGATGAACCTCTCTTTTGTGCTGTTTGGGATATTACTTAAATAAATTATTTTAAAAAAATTCAGTGATTTTTTTAAAAATTATGTAAAAAAAAAATTACTTATTCGATCAGATGAATTAAAAAAATAAATTCCAAAAAAAAATTTAAAAGCCAAAATAAGTTCAAAAAAGTCTATTATTGTTTAGGAATATTTATCAATAAGTCCAATCTCACAAACAAGTATTCTAATTAGTTCCAAATTTTTTCTATTGATCTGTTAAGTTCTATTAATGAAGAGTTTTTTTCGTGTGGTCTTATTTTCGATTTTGGTATTATTTTGGTAGACAATTATACCATTTTATTAATGTGACAGGTATGATATGACGCTTTAACGTGACAGGTATGATGTGACACTCTAAAAAAATTAAAAATTTCTTATTGTATTTTTCTTAAATGTGATAATGTGACGGGTATGATGTAACATTTTAAATCTTTTACTCAAAAAAAAAAAAAAAAAAACTAAGAACTCCTTGGTGTATTTTTTCCAAATGTGACAACGTGGCGAGTATGATGTGACATTCCAAAAAAGCTAAAAACTCCTTGATGTATTTTTTTCAAATATGAGAATGTGACGGGTATGATGTAACACTTTGAAAAAGTTAAAAACTCATTAGTGTACTTTTTCTAAATGTGACAACGTGACCCAAATGTAACATGTGGCGAGTATGTTCTGACACTCCAAAAAAACTAAAAACTCATTATTGTATTTTTTCAAATGTGACAACATAATGGATATGATGTGACACTCTAAAAAAATTAGAAATTCATTAGTGTACTTTTCCCAAACGTGACATGTGATACTCTAACGTGACAGGTATGATATGACACTGCAAAAAATTAAAAACTCTTTAATGTATTTTTTTCCAAATATGACACTCCAACGTAGTAGGTATAATGTGACATTAAAAAACTCCTTAATATACTTTTTTTCAAATGTGACACTCTAATGTGGTGGGTAAATGAGTCATTACACATCAAAAAGGACTAAATGGATCACAAGAAAAAATATAAGACTATATGTGTAGGAGCAAGATATATTCTTCTCACATAATCCTGTTGATCAAGTTCGCGCTCCTCCTAACGTCGTCGCTTTACTCCCTGAAAACACAAACGTAAGCTAGCCGACGGGTGTGTGCCGGATACCTCTCTGATGCCTAAGTCAGCAAAATAGACAAATAGACAAAAGCTCTGTGTATTCGAGAATCAAAGTTGTGTTACCTCTCCATAGGTGATGTTATGAGTTTTTATAGGTTCCGCGTGGCATAATCCTAGTAGGATTTTTATCCCTCAATGCAAAGTACTCCTAGGAATGACACTCCTGAAGGATAATGCTTATCCTTCAACACCCCCCTCACTGCTTAAACAAGGTGAGATGGTTTGACCCCGGTTGGATGGCAGTACGACCGAGCTAACCTAGCTCAGATCTTTCCTTCAGTGAATGTACCCTGGTTATGCATACTCCAACCGGGCTATTAACTTAAGACCGAGCTATCCAAGCTTGGTGCTCCAATGCAAAACGCCAAGCTAGCTTGGCTCTCGTTCAGTTGTACCTCGGTAGCCTGTTGAAACCGGGCTAATCTACGGCCTGCTACGACCGTGCTAACCAAAGCGAGGTCCACCGTGTGAAGCCATCATACCTTGGCTTCAAACACCATGACCGAACTAACTCCACTCCGACCGTGGTAACTGTCATTTCACTTGGACCGCGCTACTTACTATAGTCCACTTGCCAAGCCCTTTTCTACCGTGGCCCATCGAACGGCCCATTACTCAGCTCGGCCCAATTTACTTATAAATTACCCTCTCAATTGTCCCTTAATTCCATCTGCACCGCATGATTGGGATTAATTGTTATTAGCCGAGCTAAAAACTTTAGTCTTTCAACCGAGATAAAATGCTGCCGGGCTACCGATTGGTTCGGTCGAAAAATGTCTCTTCAATCACGTTGTCATCTGAATCGCTTATTCTTCCAAAGACACGTATCAAGCCTCCATTGGCTGAATACAACTGTCATAGCCGCCCTCGTACCTCGCAAGATTTGAACAGTCCCGCTCAAACTCGTTCTTTTCACAAAAAACCCTACTCTTTGAACCATACGCACCACTATTCATCTTCTTCTCTCTTTCCGAGCATTCATTTTTCCAAACACAGTGCCTGCGAAATTTCTCCTTGCGATCTACGATCTTCATCCTCTCGTCTTTAAACTGTAAGTACCTTAGTCTCATTTTTGTTTTGTTTGTCAAGTTTCTGAAATATATAGCACAATACTCATATGCTTTTCACAACACATATAGCATTTTTGTTTCCATTTTTTGGGAAAAAATAGTGTAATAGAACCATTGCATTCATGAATAACCTGTAGAACGATGTGTTTGATCCTAAACAGAATTCCAACAGAGCTAGGATCCTGTTTGTACTTAAGGTGTGCACCCAGCCGAACTAGATGACCAAACTAAAACTTCACGCCATACATGTAATCTCCATAGGTCTAAGTACCCTTTGTTACACCTAGTCAAGCTAGAGAACCGTACTAGGTTTGCGCAATACCATGCTAGAAAGCCCTAACCACCGACCGAGCCACAACTTAGGGCTAAACCAGCTCTCTTAGTCAAAACCGAACTAAGAATGCTGCCCTAAATGCTCAACCGGACTAAAGACCCTTGCTCAAACCGGGCTAAGAATGGACAGTATCCTACGTAACCGAGCTAGGACTTCATTTATCTTGCCTTTATTTCTTTTAGCACGGTCCAACGATCTGTGCTTAACACCTTTCTTTTTTACTTTGCAGACTCTGACTAGGTTGCCCAGGCACTCCTTTGAACGTCCGACCGAGATATCCAACATCTTCCCAACACCGAGCTAACACTTAGTCTAATTTATACATAATTTAAACTCATATGGGGAAGTATAGGTTCTTAGTAAACTCACCAGTTGCTATGGCAGAGTTCCGAAGGGACTACCATATCCCTGATGACATACACCTTAGTTTAGCCGAACTAGATACTACTCCTCGGGGAAAACAGGGCTTTGTTCCCTTCACCCTTCTTTCTATTGTAGAAACCGGACTAAGATTCCCTGTACAGCCCTTTCTTTGCGAGTTCCTTAGACAAACCAGCCTCTGCCCTACCTAACTTTTCACAAATTCATACCGCATAATAAATGGCATCGCCGAGCTAAACCGCCGGGCTAGCCTTAACCTCGGTTTAGCCGAGCTCTTCCACCAATATTCCATAGGATCGGCTGAACATGGCTGGGTTTACTATTTAAGAATAAGGCGCCGGCGTGAAAAAATAATAAAGAATATCACAGATAAGGATGTAAACGATGATGATTTTTTCTGGGTTTCTGGGAACTTCAAAGATCAAGAAGCCCAGATCCCGGGCAACCGGATAAACTGGAATAAAGGAGTCGCCGGTATAATTACCTCGGCTTAGTTTTCTGCTTTCTTTTACCTCAATTTTCTTATCTTAGACCGTGCTAACTGTTGTTTTTTTACATCATGCAGATTTGAACTTTCTCAAGTCCCAGTACAGCTACCCCAACTTGAATGCACTTCGCGCTGCTCTGCGATACCCCAACAGAAGCTGGGCCAAGCTACTGAATTTTGAACCGACATACAGATATAGCAGCCGTAGGAAAACCAGGGTGACCGATTTCCTCCTTGAGCCTTCACCAGAGCCAGACCCAACCTTGCCTCAAATCAATTTGATCCCGTTAACAGCGGAGCAAGAGATGGCCAAGAAAAGAGCAGTAAGGGCCCTCCTAACCGAAACAAACCAGGCCGAGGTACCACCAGCCAGCCAAACTCAAGAGACCGTGGTAGCCTTGCCAACCCATCAGCCTTCATCATCTCGGGCAAGCAAGCATGCTCGGACTTCCACAACCGAGCCATGCCTTGTCGACGAGGATGAAACCGTGGTTCCTCAAGTCTCTCCACCAAGTCCTCCACCTGAGCGCTCTAAC